TTGGTAAGAGGAAAGAGTTTATTTCAAGACGCTGGCATCATGAGGAAAGAGAGAGCTCTTGATCCAAAATGTGTTCTTTCTGCCAACAAGCCAGCAAGGGGGGTTTTTAAAGGGACATGGATGGTTGCAGGCAAGGTTAGAAATTAAACAATGAGTCTATTCAGTCGACAGTTATGAAGGTGTTCAGGCTTCTCTATTCTGGCTGTTAGAACAAAGTACCATGGAGTAAATGGCTTAAAAAAAAACAACAACAATTTTTTCCCCCACAGATCTGGAGGCAAGAGGTCAGGGTGCCAGTGTAGCCATTTTCTGGTGAGAGCCCTCCTCTGGTTCCAGGCAAATGATATCTTGTTGTATCCTCACATGGCAGAGAGCAGAGAGTGGAAGCAAGTTTCTGGTCCCTCTGTTAAGGGCACTAATCCCATTCAGGAGGTCTCTACACTTACAGCCTTGTCTAATCCTAGGCACCTCCCAAAGGCCCTACCCCGGATGTCTTGCTGGGGGATAGGGTTTCAACATACACATTTGGCTGGGGGGAACATTCAGTCCAGTATAGCCAGCTAGTTCTTTCATTCAGACACCATTTCTTCCAGAAAGCCTTCTCTGATTTCATCAGTGAGAACTGGTGCTCCCAATTCATAGCTCCATGTGCTTTACTTGTAATATGCAATTTTTATTCTGAATTGCTACAGCTTGCTTTTCTTAAAATGAACTAAAATATAGGACTCATGAAATGTGCTTATTGACTGAATGAGACGTGATGCTTCACTCCATCTCTACTCCATGCTACCTGTATTGTCTTCTAAAAGTTATCTGCCTTCCAGGTCAAATATGTCATTATAAAACACAGGCACTGGGGCCAGTGCTGTGGCATAGTGGGAAAAGCCACCATCTCCAGTGCCCGCATCCCATATGGGCGCCAGTTCAACTCCCAGCTGCTCCATTTCCGATCCAGCTCTCTGCTGTGGCCTGGGTGTTATATATTAATGTTAGCTGTCACAAAACACACCGAACGCCAGAATAAGGGAAAGGGTTTATTGGGGAACACCCAACAGACTGGAGTGAAGGGGCGGCGAAGGGAAAGAGAGGAGACTATAAGAAAGAGAGACAGAGAGGAGGCAGAAGAGAGACGAGAGGAGGAGAGGAGCCAAGAGAGCAGAGAGAAGCCAAGAATCAAGAGAGCAGGAACAGGCCCTTTAAAACTTTGCCCGAGGGCAGGCAGGGAAGCAGGAGCAGCAAATCCCATTAGGATGGGGGTGGAGCTTGACCATAGAGGTTGGGCCCTGTGGCCACCTGGCTAAAACTGCACCAGTTTCCTAACACTGGGAAAGCAGTGGAAGATGGCCCAAGTCCTTGGGCCCCTGCACCCTTGTGGGAGACCTGGAAGAGCTCCTGGTTTCTGGCTTTGGATCGGCGCAGCTCTGGCTGTTTCGGCCAAGTGGGGAGTGAACCAACGGATGGAAGACCTCTCTCTCTGTCTCTACCTCTCCTCTCTCTGTGTAACTCTGACTTTCAAATAAATAAATAAACAAATCTTTAAAAAAACAAAAACTACGGGCCGGCGCTGCGGCTCACTAGGCTAATCCTCTGCCTAGCGGCGCTGGCACACCGGGTTCTAGTCCCGGTCGGGGCGCCGGATTCTGTCCCGGTTGCCCCTCTTCCTGGCCAGCTCTCTGCTGTGGCCCGGGAGTGCAGTGGAGGATGGTCCAAGTACTTGGGCCCTGGACCCCATGGGAGACCAGGATAAGTACCTGGCTCCTGCCATTGGATCAGCGTGGTGTGCCGGCCGTGGCGGCCATTGGAGGGTGAACCAATGGCAAAAGGAAGACCTTTCTCTCTGTCTCTCTCTCTCACTGTCCACTCTGCCTGTCAATAAATAAATAAAAATTAAAGAAAAAAATCCATAAAAAAAAAACACAAAAACTACAACAACAACAAAACACAGGCATTGGACCACATGGGAATATCAGCTCTCTTAACTTTTTCTTATATAAGTTTGGAACTTCTAAATATTTTATTAAGAATTTTGCCCATTTATGTTTGTGATATCTATCACATGTATACAATATGGTGTTTCCTTTCATAATCCATTCTCTTTCTTTTGTAGCTAAGTTTGCTAAGTGTGAAATCACCGTCTACAAAATCAACTTGTTGGGAGGGGTATGTGAGAACCTCAATTGTATTTATAGTGTTTTATATTTTAGGTTAGAGGTGATATACAGGTGCATATCATACTATCTGTATGCCTTTAAAGTCTGAAATACTTTATAAAAATACAAAAGAGAACATCTGTGTTCTTTGTAGTGAATACAAGAAAACCAACTTCCTATAAAAATGCCTGTGTATTAGGTTAATCTGTATATGATCACACTAAATAGAAAAGAACTATCTCTTAATAAAACACTGTTACAAAAATAGAAAATGTTCTCCCGCTGACGTTACATGACTGATGGAAACTACAATCTTGAATAATCTGTGGGTATTCATGAATGAAATCAATTACATTTAGAGGAGCTATTTGTTGTTAGATTAAAAATGTAATTAGCAATTATAATGCTGTCTGGGGGTTCTGGTTCTAATGGAACAATGGGCAGATTTCTGGGACTTAGCAAATTGGTAGGTGGTTTATATCTTATCTTTCTTTTCTTTCAAACATATGTAAATCTTTTGCTGAGCAATTTGTGGGGTGGGTGGTGAGGAACCTTGCTTAAACTAACATATCAGATGCTAGCCTATTCATTTCCCCAGACGGGATCGCTAGGTTATGTGCAAGTAGACTGAGAAGCAGAAAATGAATGACAGCAGGATGTTCCTTTCTCTAATTCATATCTTCAAGCAAGAATCTCTTCATTTCATTTTGCCTCTTTCTGTAATAATAAAAAGAAAAAATAAATGCTCTTTTCTCACTAAACATTACTTGTGCTAGTTAAGCATTAGTGAAAATTGTCCGTATTTTTCCCAGTAGATAAAGCTACAAATTTACGAGGTAAGAAAAATTTCTCCTACAACTGAATGCTGTGAAATATATTTTTAAAAGTGTCAGAGAAGGAGGTGCGCTAGCTTGCAGCTCACACATAGCAATCACTTCCAAGCAACATGGGTGTTACTGGCCGAGTGTTCTGAGGGGACCTAATTCACTCACAAGCCAGGTCCTACCCTACTGCAGAAAATGCACCCCCTGGAGAAGCTGTGAACGACTGCTGACCCAGATCCAGGCGCTGGTCATCTTACTTCACAGATGCACAGATCCCTTGCCTGCAGATTTTCTGCATAACAGAGGCTAGAGGAGGTTCTGGCTTAAACCCAAGGAATCTGCATTTTAACAAGTACCCCAGATGATTCTGTTGCGTACTTTGGGAAAAGTCTCAGAGAAAAACCCCTAATAATGCTCAAAAGGAAATGTATGTTCATTAAAACAAGTGAAGCTCTCAACGGAGGGCTGATCATTTTGGCGTGGTTAACAGAAGGCAATAGATTCTTATTTAAATAGTCAACTGGGCTTGAATCCAGTTGTGGAAATACTTTTTAAATGTGTTCCACTGAATACTCTTTGGAGTATATATTATCTATGAATTATTTTTGGTCTGTCCCTGTGTTTACAGAGTGTTTACTTCATTCGTGGTTCTCACTGCAGAGCTGATCCTTGGTTAAGGAATGAGCCCATTGACCCGGCAGTTCACGCAGGTGCTCTCGAGCCTGGCTGGACATCACATCACCTGGGAGACTCGTTCAGCCTAGGGCTGTCGGGGCCACGTACCTCATTTCCATTAGAATCTTTGGACACCGGGACCCACAATCTATTTCCTTAAATCATTTCCATGCTGCCAGACCTGAGAACCACGAGTTTAATGATAGCCAAAGAAACGTTGAGATTTTCAAGTTTATTTTTCTTGCTCAGACATTATCTTTACTCTTGCTGTGGCCAGAACCATTTTGGGGTTGGGTCCGATGAGTTCCCTGTAACTCTAAATTTTACGCTCTGTTCTCTCTGACATGTGGGCGAGTTTGATTGGCGAGGCAGGCTTCACTTCTGGGGCTGAGCAGCCAGAGGCCTCAAAACGTCCGGGCGCGGGTGCGACTTTCTCCAGGTGGCACCTTGATGACCCTGATGCACAGTGAGAGGCGACTGCTTGCAGGGGTGTTATCCACTTGGTCTGAAGAGCAGGGGGAAGAATTTAGCACTCGACTCCTGAAACCAGCTTGGCACCCTCTTGGGCACTGAGAGCCCGGCTACGCTGAACCGCGAAGGTTCCAGCTGGCCAGTCTGAGAACAGCGAGGTTTGGCCATGTTGGAGCAATGGCGAGGAGCTGGGATTCCCGACTCCGGAGCTACTAACCCAAGAGTTTTAAGATCCCCAAAGTAGGTTATTCTACAACCTGTCTGGCTTATGCCCGAATCGCCCAGGGCGCTGTGATCTTTGGCGGCCAGTGTTTTCCCCATCCGATTCTGGGCTGGGCTGATTTAGAACCCCAGGACACACAGACCCCATCCCTCGGGACGGAACGTCCAGGCGGCACGTGGGCGGTCAGGACGCCTTCCCTCGGGCCGCAGGTGCCCCGTGCGTGGCCAGGCCTGTGCCTTCCTCCAGCCCCAGAGCAAGGGCAGCAGGGGCAGCGACACTCTTCAGTAAGCCCGAGCAGCGCTTGCAGCCCCCGCCCGACGGGTGCTCCTCCACGCTGGTCCCCGCATCGGAAGCAGCGTCACCGCACCTGTCAGGCCCCCGCCCCACACTGGCCGGGTCAGCATCCGCACTCTAACCAGCTACCCAGGAGATTCTAATTTACAAAGGAATTCGAGAAGCCTCCTGGTCAAGTAATTGATCAGCTGAACGGACCCACCCTTTGTGCCGGCAGCGCGCCAGCTCCGCCAGGCAGCGACGAAACCCCCCAGGGACATCGGAGCCGGGCTGCCCTGGGCAACTTGGGGATTGGCTGGTCTGGCCACGTGATCGGCACTGGCCTTCCTTGCGACCGGATTGGCTCTCGAGGACGCTGACGGACAGGGCGGGGGCGGGCCAGGGTCCAGTCGAGGCGCGCGGGGCCGAGGGGCGAAGGCGCCGGAGCGCGAGTGCGCGTGCGCGTGCGCGAGCGGCGGGGCTTCCTCGCGGGCCGTCGGGGAGGCGAGCGCCGGTCCTGAGGCAGAGCGGCTGCTGTCATGAGGTAAGCGCAGCGGCCGGGGCTGCTGCAGCCCGGCCGGGGCGAGCGAGGCGCGGACACCGTCTCTCGCGCGTGCAGCCCAGCCCGGCCGCCCCTCGTGGCTCGGCGCCGCTCTGCCCGCGCTCGGATGCGCCTCGGTCCTCCCCGCCGCGGCGGCTGCCGGCCGGAGGGAACTGCCCACCTGGCAGCCCTGCCGCCGCTTTGTTCCCGCCCGGACGGTGCGGGGTGCTGTGGCGCGGGGGGTCACGGCCTGGCCCCGGGCCCGCGCCGGGGGTCTCCGCTTTCGCCGGGCCCGGCGCTCGCGCGGTCGCGGCTGCGAGCGACGCCCGGGGCGGCCGAGCCGGGGCTGCCCGAGGGGGCTTCTCGCCGCACCTGCCCGCCCGCCGGCCGGCTCGCCGACTCCCACCGAGATTGCACGAAGGGACCCAGACCGGAGTGAAGGGGCTGGAGGTCTTGAAGGCGGTGGGGCGCTGGCGGAGCAGGTGTGGAGGAGTTCCCGGAGATGCAGGCTGCAGATGGTCGGCGAGCAGGGAGATGCGGCCGTGGCCGCACACCCGACCGGCACGCCGAGGTCCCTCTTCTGGAAGATGGGGCTGGCGGCGGCGGCGGGAGGGTTTCTGGGGCCGCCCTGCCGGGCGATTGCCTAATTTTAGCATCTGAACCGGCTGCGGGGAGCCGGCAGGCGAGGTCTGAGTTGAAACTATCCAGATCTCTTGCCTGTGTTTAAAAGAAACCATTTGGCTGCCAAAAAAGGTGCGTGTGGGGGGAGTATCTCCTGTCAGCAGTACTGTGTCTGGAAGCTTGAGAGCCGCTGAAGTGTGCAGGGTCCCCTGCCTCTCCTCCATTTCCTTAGACCTGCGGTAGTGGGGCCACGTTGTGCCATCTCGTTTCCGTCAGTTAAATAGTTTGCTAATCTGTTGGGTGTGCCCGGTAATCTGCTCAGTAAGAAATGGCTCAGCCCACGCCACGATTTTACCGTGTTCTTCTGGTGGACAAGGAGACTGCTTCCAGGGCCGGTCGGTGCTCTCATCCTCCCCCAAGTTATATTTCATTAGGAGACAATCAGGTATTTAAATCTCTCAACGCACACCACGACTGTGAAACGTCTTCACTTGCTAAGAAATCAATTTACTAGGCAAGTTAAAATGATTTTTGTTTTGAGGAGGTAGCACTTAAATTTGTTATGGGGATTGAAGTCCGGTTCGTCAGCGTGCAGCAGGTCAACTTTGCATGGTTTTCTGAAATGAATGGAGAAGAGAAGTTGCTTGCGCTTGGGAATATCACAGGTGACCCCGCTAAAGTGAAATAGAGGTTGCCACCTGGTATACTGGTGGGACTAATTTAAAACTTTGTCAGTGGTTTTTTTTTTAAACCTCGTGTGTAGTGAGCAGGAAGGCATTTTGAGGGTGATGTGGGTCTGTAGTTTGGACTTTATATTTGAAGAGGGAAACGTCACGTTTGTTACATAAACTACACCAAGGGCAGGCAGTATATGTGTGTAGCCCGCGGAAGGAGCAAGGATTTGGAAGGCTGAGCGGCACTGATTGGGTTTAAGCAAGGGCCGGCGGCAGATTGACAGGCTTAGGTCATCCTGAGGGAAGCAGCTTACTTCAGTGACCTGTAGGACAAGGTTTTGTTCTCTGATTGCATAAAAGCCCGCTAGCATTGCTTTCTGAGCAATAACAAAATGATTTCCGTTCTATTGATTCTGTCTCCTGGGTCAAGGAGTGGGGTAGGGTAGGTGGGGAGTGGATGAGAACAATTAGAGGTGATATAAGAACTTCAGACCGAGAGGCACTTAGCACTTGTGTTGTGCGATAGGGCTAGATAACAACGCCATAGGTGGGGCCACTGGCTGAGATCATCTGGTACAGAAGCGGTGGGGGACGAGGAATGCCAGGAAACGTTTAATTCAGTGAGGCTCTGCTGTTGTCCTCAGAACCTTGAGGCATTTCCAGGCACAGCTGCCCCATTATTGGCTAGCCTGGCTGGGCTTGATGTGGCTTCCAGAAGACCAGCACTCACATCGGAGGCTCTGGTGGTGGGTCTGTGTCTCGGGTTTTAAGCCTCAGTTAGGCTTATAATGTGTTCTAGAGAAAGAAAGGCCCACAAAGACACACATCGAGGCTGCTGTTCTTCGGGTCATGGCTTGTCTCACTCACAGGCTCTCAGGAAAGAGGTTGTCCCCTCCCTAGCAGTAGATGGCACTGCTGCCTCTGGAAATCCCTGGAGGAGGTGAACTATGGAGCTGGCATCACACAGTGTGTAGCCTAGAGTCCAGAAAGCTTTGAAGGGCTGTGGCCGCTCTCAGAGAATCTGAAGGAAAATAATTCTGAAAGCTGTAACTGCCCCGTTAATGGAGGAGTACTTACTGTATGTTGTGGGAATTGAGGAACGGCTGTGTTTATTAGTTGTGTGTGTTTCTTTTTTTAAAATTTTATTTAAGTTACAAAGTTTCATGTATTTAATACATACTTAGGAGCACAGTCACACTCCCCCCCCCCATCCTCCCTCCCACCCATGCTTCAGCCCTACCTGTTCTTCCCTCTCACATTTTCACTGTTGATTTTTACAAAGGTCTATTTTCAGTTGACATAATGGTCACATAGTTAACCTTACACTAAGTAAAAGAGTTCAACAAATAGTATGAACAGAAAAAAATGTCTATTTCACTTCAGTACATTACATTTCAGATACTCTATTAGTTAGATCAGGGAAAACGTATGGTATCTGTTTTTTTGGGACTAGCTTATTTCGCTAAGTAGTATGGTTTCCAGTTGCATCCATCTTGTTGCCAAAAAAAGGATTTTTTTTTTTTTACAGCTGAGTAGTACTCGATAGTGTATACATATCATAATTTCTTTATCCAGTCAACAGTTGATGGCTATATGAGTTGATTCCATATCTTTGTGAATTGTGCTGCAGTGAACATGGGGGTACAGATAAATCTTTCATATACTGATTTCTTTTGGTTTGGGTAAATTCCTGGGAGTGGGATTGCTAGATCATATGGTAGATGTGTATTCAGATTTTTGAGGGATCTCCATACAGTCTTCCACAGTGGTTGCACTAGTTTAGATTCCCACCAATGATGCACCAGGTACTGTTTTCCCCACATGCTTGCCAGTAGTTGTGGCTTATTGATTTCTGTATGAGAGCCATTCTAAGTGGAGTGAGGTGAAACCTCATCATGGTTTTGATTTGCATTTCCCTGATGGCTAGTGATCCTGAGCATTTTCTCAAATGTCTGTTGGCCATTTGAATTTCCTCTCTTGAAAAATGCCTGTTCAAGTCCTTTGCCCATTTCTTAAGTTAGTTGTTTGGTTGTTGTTGAATTTCTTGAGCTCTTTATAGATTCTTGATGTTAGCCCTTTATCAGTTGCATAGTTTGGAAATGTTTTCTCCCATTCTGTTGATTGCCTCTTCACTTTCTGAGAGTTTCTGTTGCAGTGCAGAAGCTTCTCAGCTTGGCGTAATCCCATTTGTCAATTTTGGCTTTGATTGCTGTGCTTCTGGGGTCTTTTCCAAGAAGTCTTTGCCTATGCCAACGTCTTGTAGAGTTTCCCTAATGTTCTCTAGTAATTTGATGGTATCAGGTCATAGATTTAGGTCTTTGATCCATTTTGAGTGGATTTTTGTGTAAGGTGTAAGGTATGGGTCTAGTTTCATACTTCTGCACTTGGAGATCCAGTTTCCCCAGCACCGTTTGTTAGACTGTCCTTGTTCCATGGTTGATTTTAGTTTCTTTGTCAAAGACATGTTGGTTCTAGATGCATGGATTGATTTCTGGCATTTCATCTCTACCTCATTGGTCTACAAGTCTGTTTTTGTGCCAGTACCAGGCTGTTTGATTATAAATGACCTATAGTGTCTTGAAATCAGGTATTGTGAATCCTCCAGTTTTGTTTTTGTTGTATTAGATTGCTTTAGCTATTCTCGGTCTGTTGTGTTCCCATATGAATTTTAACATCATTTTTTTCTAGATCTGTGAAGAATTAGTATTTTGGGATTGCATTGAATTTGTAAATTGCTTTTGGCAGTGTGGACATTTTGATGATGTTGATTCTTCCAATCCGTGAACGTGGAAGTTTTTCCATTTTTGAATGTCGTCTTCTCTTACTTTTAGTGTTTTGTAATTTTCATTGTAGAGATCTTTGACAAATTGCTTAAATTTATTCCAAGATATTTAATTATTTTTGGAGCTGTTTTGAATGGGACTGATCTTGAAAGTTCTTTCTCAGCCATGACATTGTGTATACAAAGGCTATTGATTTTTGTGTGTTTATTTTATATCCTGCCACTTTACCAAACTCTTTTATGAGTTCCATTAGTGTTTCAGTGGAGTCTTTTGGATCCCCTATACATAGAATCATATAGTTTGACTTCCTCTTTTCCAATTTGTATCCCTTTGATTTCTTTTTCTTGCCTAATGGCTCTGGCTAAAACTTCCAGGACTATATTGAATAGCAATAGTTTGTGTGGGCATGCTTGCCTGGTTCTGGATCTTAGGAGAATGCTTCTAGCCTTTCTCTATACAATAGGATTCTGGCCATGGGTTTGTTATAATTTGCCTTGATTGTGTTGAAGAATGTTCCTTCTGTACCCAATTACTTAAGGTTTTCATCATGAAAGGATTGTTATATTTTATCAAATGCTTTCTCTGCATCTATTGAGATAATATGGATTTTGTTCTTGAGTTTGTTAATGTGATGTATCACATTTGTGAATGTTGAACAATCCCTGCATACCAGGGGTAAATGCCACTGGGTTTTGGTGAATGATCTTTCTGATGTGTTGCTGGATTTGATTAGCTAATATTTTGTTGAGATGTTTTGCATCTATGTTCTTTAGGGATATTGGTCTATAGTTCTGTTTTTCTGTTGTATCTTTTTCTGACTTAGGAATTGAGGTGATGCAGGCTTCATCGAAGGAGTTTTGGGAGGATTCCCTCCCTTTCAATTGTTTTGAATAGCTTGAGAAGAATTGTAATTAATTCTTCTTTA